GAGTTTGAGACCCCTTAGAGACATAAAGAGCTACAGCAATGACAAGTGCAAGGAAACTGAAGAGAACAATGAAAGAAAAACAGAGGACACCTTCTAGAAGCTCCAAGAAATCAAAAGGAGAATTCAAACCTAGAAGAATGCTGAACAACCAAGATGAGAACATACAGTATGAGCAGGATAAAATAAAAAGTAGAAACAATATACAGAAGAAATGAAACGATGACAGAGGAATCCTATGAGGATGAACCTCAACTATTATAAAGGGAAACAAAAGCTGCTCTTGAAACATTTGGAAGGAATAAAACATTGAGTAGATAAGCATACCAATAGAACTATTCCAAGCAGCAGGGACTGAATCAGTCCAAATCCTAACAAGAATATGCCAACAAATATGGGAAACAAACCATGGCCCACAGATTGGAAACATTCTGTATACATTCCAATCCACATGAAAGGAGATGCTAAAACGCACAGCATCTACATGACCATTACACTAATTTCACATGCAAGCAAACTGAAGTGCAGAGTGTTGCAACAAATTTTACCCAAATAAAGTGCAAAATGCTTGATATTCAAGCTGGATTTAAAAATGAAGAAACACTAGAGACTGTATCACAACTGTATGTTTGCTTCTATGTTGTATGTTGCAGCATATGGCCAGAAGGTTGGTGGCCAGTTTGCAGGGAATGCCGTATGAGGCGAGACTGAGGGAACTGGGTCTCTTCAGCCTGGAGAAGAGGAGACTCAGAGGGGATCTGCTGGCGACATACAGGTATGTGAGGGGGTGTCACACCAAGGTGGGTAGAGAGCTGTTCTCCCCTGCAGAGGAAGGCAGGATGTGCTCCAACTGAGCAAAGCTCAGGGAACCCAGGTTCCATTTAGATACCAGGAAATACTTCCTGACAGTTAGGACCCTGAGGGTATGGAATGGGCTTCCACGGGAGGTGGTTGAGGCCCTATTGGTGAGGGTGTTCAAAGATAGGCTAAACATGCACATGGTGGGCATGTTGTGAGCTGGGGGTAAGACTAGATGGCCCGGAAGACCCCTTCTGAGTCACTATGTTTCTATGTTTTGGCTACTGGAGTACAACATACCAATGAATTTCAGAAGATCAGTCTATGCTTTATAGACTACAGTAAAGCCTTTAACTGCATGGAAAACAAGTGTAACCTGTATTGTGGACAAGAAGCTACTGTGAAGACAGAACATGGAATAACAGAATGGTTTCTTATAGGCTAAGTGCCAGACAAAGGTGTATTTTATCTTCCTATCTATTCAACCTGTACAGAACATATTATAAGGAAAGTTGGATTAGGAGCAGAAGATTAATGAATATTTGCAGAAAACAGAACAACAATCTAAGATATGCAGGAATAACAGATCGCTGGGAGAAAGCAGCAATGAATTGAAATGACTTCTGATGAATGTGAAAGAAAAAATTGCAAAAGCAGAACTGCACCTGAACATTAAGAAAACAAAAAACACAACTATAGAAGATATGCAGAACTTTGAGGTCAACTCTGAAGAAACTGAAATTGTGAAAGATATTGAATCCCTGGATCAATCATCAATTCAAAAGGAAATTAACCCCAAGAAATTAAGAGACTGAGATTTGGAAGGGCAGCAATGAACAAACTATAAACATAATCAAGTGTAAGGATGTTTCATTGGAGACCAAGGCCAAGATCAACCAAACTATTGTATTCTCAATAACTATACAGTTGTAAATGTGGCAACTAAATCCTGATAGAACTAAGTTGTCTTTTTCTGTGTGCAAAGTATATAGCAAACTGAACCTTCATTAACCAGAAAACTCTGCTTAGGGGAAATCAAGATGTTGTCATTATACGGACACAATGAATAGTATTCAACAATGTCATTCTATTGATAGAAATTTTTCCCACCACATTGAACTGGGAAGCACCAGTTTCCTCAAACCCCATGCATCCTCAAGATCTGCTCTGGAGGACTGCAAAACCTTCCTGACCAATGGGAAGGGTGCAGGAGAGGGACAAATTCATATCACACTGCATGACACAATGTTAGATTTGAGCTAATGATAGAAGAGTATTTTTAAATCACTATCACTGCTACACTGTGGACTTCCAAATGGATTATTTGGCATGATGTAAAATAATTTTTCTGTCACTATAATATTCTACGTTATTGCTTCAGTGCCTGCATTACCTCTACACTCAATAGGGAAGTTTTCTAGATACTACTCTATCATTATCCTCATACAGCTGCCTATCCAGACCAGGCTATCAATCAAATAGCACCAAAACTAATTCTTAGACTCTCCTCTCTGTTCTCCCACCATTCTGCATGTGAACAACATCCGTTAAGAGTCAGAAATGAAATCATCACAGTGGTTCACCAGCCCTGCAGAGCTCATGACAAAGAGTAATCTATACTTCCATAAAGTCATGATCTTACTAAACAACATGTCCAAACCACTATATGCTACTTTTTTAAAAAATCAGACAAAGTAGTTTTCCCTGTTGGGATTTCAAGCATTCTTCTATCACAAGATCATCTTTGACTTGCTCTTTAACTATCCCTAAAATCAGTCAGTGCTACCAAGAAAAACCTGAGCCAAGTAGAAAGCCCAACATCTTTAGAGAACTTATTATAATTTTGATTATACTGAACCCAATAATATAATTACACAACTTCATTAGCTGTGTAATAAATTAGTGGCCAAAGGTTTTGCTATAAACCTCTAGCTCCCAAGCAGTAATGCTTTTTGAAGTTTCTGCAAGTGTTGGTAAGTCAGACCAAACGTTAGCCATTTACATATGTCCACTGCTAACTGGCGGCATGCTTATTTGTGAAGACTTTGAATGCACTTAAGCCAGAAAGATTTAACATCTTGTTGCTGCTTATATAGTTCACAGATGTTGATTCAGGCATGATGATTTCCACATGTTGGATCACTGGCTTGGGAACAATAGGTCTTCAGGAAGCATATAGCACAAGTGATTTGATAGAATGGAATATAAATGTAAAACCTCTATATCAGGAATTAGAAGCAAGAGTGTCTTGATTAGAAATGCAAGCCAGTCTAATAGGAAATTCTCCCTCCAAAAAGGACAAACCTTTTTGGGCAAATTAATCCCACTACATGGCTTCCAAAAGTGCCTTCTTTCTTATTACAATGCAAGTTCTGTGAATGTTACTTTTCAACAACTTTGTCCTGAGAATTATTTTACCACCAAAAGCAAATAAAATGAGCACATGCTTCTTTCATGGTCAATGTACTCCTTTATAAAATTTCCAAAAACTCACACCCACCTGTAAGTTAACATTTTCCAAAAGAATACAAACTGGGGACAGACTAGTCTCAACCAAAAACTGTGTGGTCCTTAATAGGTGTCTCTCAAAGCCTTCATACTGATGTTTTGACATGTATTTGTACATTGCAGCACAGAACAGTTAACATTAAGGCTGTATGTAAGAATAAACTTCAAAGTAAGCTCAGCTGAAATTAATGTGATTTACTTCCAAATAAATGCATCTAGAATCAAGATGTAAACGCAATTGTGTTTTGCTGTAAGATGAGGGTCTTGAGGCCTTACATACATTGTATATGCTGGAAGGTAATGAGCTATCAAGTCTGATCCTATAAACCCTGTGAATATTTATTGAGCTTCACAAATAATATGAAGTGTGCTGTGGATGTCATAAATACAGAAGCAGATTATTGTTAGGTTCTGGCTAGATGCAGTGCTTAACCCTTTAATGAATGATCTCTGATATTACATGCCTCTAGTATTTTCTGTGTCTTGACTTCTGCTGGAATCATGCAGCTAAATATACAATTCTTCAGAGAACTGGCAGCAGACAGAAGTGGTATACACAATGATATCAAATAGAAACTCAAAAAATGGAATTTATTAAGGCACTTAACTGTGTTCCTAGGTATCCTGAAAATGTAGTTACATTCTTAAACCCATCATTAAAAGATGTATAAAGATTTTTTTAAAGGCAGCAAAACAGAAAAATAAAAGAACTTACATTTGAAGCATGACTTCATTCAAGAAAACTCCATCCACAAGCGCAACATATTCCTCCAAATTGGTTGCATTTGCTCCGGCTAACAGTCCAAATGTCTTAACCTAAAACATAATCATAACCACCATGACATTAATTCCACATTAGCTCCTATACTCAACAGGAAATGTGTGAAAATATATAAGTATATGGCATTAAACAGTGACTAAATGCTTACCCAAGTAACAAGAGGGCTGGATATGAAGACCTCCAGAAGAGGTGTGAAGATCTCGTTTTCCATTTTTTTTAAGAGCAACAAAAAAAATCAGTTTTTTTTAAAGCACCCAGGGCAGCAAGAAGAGGTTCCCTTCGTTGTAGTAATCCCATGAAATATTCCACTAATTCAATAAGAATACATCCAGGCTAGCTCCCCAATAAAATTCAAAAAGCATACTCAGGGTTGTGGCAAGAACAGGGGTTTCATTATCCGCCTCGTCCGATCGCGAGGCCGTCGACGTTCATTTTCCAGCGTTTCCACCCCCCCAGCCCCTGCTGTCTCTGACTATGACTCTTTTTCTTCCTCCTCTCTCCGCGCCCAAGAGGAAGGAGAAAGAAAGGAGGGGACCTACCAGGATCCTACATCAGCCGCACTACCCGCCGCCCCTCTTCCAGGCTGCTGCAACACCAGCAAGCGTGCGCACACATGCGAAGAGGGGGGTGGGCTGGGGCGGCAGGCGAATCCCAGGGACGCTCGCCCGAGCTAATCGTGCCCCCCAGCGCCGCAAAAGCGTGCGTGTGACAGGGAGGGCAGAACCCGCATCCTCCCTTCCACCCCAACAAGTCTCCCTGGAGGGGAAATCACTCCTATCCAGACCAGCCTGACTCCTTCCCCCTCCACACCTTACAGGCTCCGGCTTCTTTATGCACCCCACCCAAGAGGAAGGGGGGCTCGCGCTCCGTCTCGCAGGAAAGCGCCTCTACCTTTCCAAGTGGTGCCCCCCTACTAAGGGGGGGGCGAGGCAGAGCAGCCACCCAAACGGAGGGAGAACCCCACCCCCTCGCCAGTCCTCAGCGCTCCCCCTTCACATCCACACCGCCGCCCCACTTCAGCGCTGCCTGACGGCTAATCAGAGCTCCAGCCGCTGTCTTCCACCGCCTTTTCCCGGGTGACTCACCACCGCCTCAGCCCCCGCCCCACCCCCGCCCGTCCGCCAGCTGCCTCCTCCGTCGCCGGTGCCCCTCTCATGCTCTCGGCTCCGGCCCCCACTCGGATCCCCCAAGCCCCCCGACAGACGCAGGCTGTCCGTAGCTCAGCTGCGGCAAGTCTCGTCCGGGCGCTGCCCAGCCCAGCCCAGCCCAGCCCGCCCCGCTCCTCGCACTCCCGGCTTCCTCTCTACGGACTAATCCCCCTCCCGCGGGCGAACACCCGCCGCCCTCGCCGCTGAAGTAACGGCTCACGATCTTCAATCGGACCGCACCGCCCGCTCTCGCCACACACGAGCGCGCGCGCCCTTCTTTTCTGGGTCCGAAAGCAAAGAAGCGACGTGAGAGATCCCTCCGCAGCACAAGAGCCGGGGCGGGGGGGGAGGGAGGGAGGGAGAGAGAGAGAGACTTCTCCGCTTTTTCTGCTTTTTCTGCTTCTCGCTGGCTCGCTCGCTCGCGCTCTCTCTCTCTCTCGGGCAATCGCGTGGTGTAGGGTTATCCCTCCGCCGCTGGCCTGGTAGAGGAATTAAGAGGGGAGGGGCAGCGGCGGTTGGGGAGGAAAGAAAACCGCTGCATGGGGGGGGGGGGGCGCACGGGCGCGCGCGCGCACGAGCGGGCAACCGCTGCAATAACGGACGGCGTGAGCGCGCGGTAGGAACAGCGGAGGATAAGCGCTCCCTCTCTCTCCCCCTCTCCCTCTCCCTCTCTCCGTGGGGAGAAAATGCTGAGGGGTGTGAACATTGCGGGGTGCGGGAAGTGTATGGAAAGCACCAACTGAGAGGAGTGCTCGCCTAGGGCACCTCAGCAAGACTTGAGGAGGGGTGTGCCTTTCATTCCTTTCAGGTTTGCGCTCGAGGGAAGGAGTGTAATGTCGCACCGTCTCAGCCTATTCACGTGGAAAGGGAGCTGTGTGGATTCACCCAGTGGCAAGTGGGGGGAGGGCCGAGAACATACGACCCCCTTCTCCTAGAAATGTCTTGGGTGGAAAGCACTGATTCCATTAGGGAACAATGTCCTTCAAGATAAGACAAAGTGTTCAAGGAAGAACTTCTTTTACAGGCATAAACTTTGATACAGACACGTGCCCACCCATGCACACATCCACGAGTATTCGAGGAAGGCCAAGGAAGGGTGAGTGTGTGTTGCTGTCTGGCTTCCATGGATTATATTCTCGAACTGGGGATGCTCATCAGCCCTCCAGTGCAGATCCCGGAAATGGCTGTGTCTGATTCAGGAAGGGTGTTAGGGGATGGCCTGCTAGGGCTGGAGCCCTGACTTCTGGAAAGTCCTCTGCCCCAAAATAAAGACACAGGATCCCTGGTGCTCTCTCTCACATCTGATCCCACTGCATCAGTTAGCCTTTTGCCCACATGTGTTTCACCTTCTGCTGTCCCCTTAATCTTGCTGCCGGAGGGATTTTTCCCTTGAAGTCAACTGCCCTCCCTTTCCCTGTCTGCACATCCCTTTCTACAAAAAAGGCTGCCCTTAGGAGATGTTGAAATAAACAGACACACACAGACTTTAGAGCTTTTGGCGGCGGGGGGGGGGGGGTCTTCTGGGCCTGGATGCCTGGGCGTAGCACCATCTCTGATCTCTTTCACGGTAAAACTTGGGGTTGTGTATGAGTCTAGCACCACCACCTCATCTAACACCGAGAAGCAGAGGTCTGGGAGACCTGGTCTCTTATCCCCACTCGGCAGTGAAGGTCACTGGGTGACTTTGGGCCAGTCCGTCACTCTCAGCCTAACCTCTCTCTCAGGATTGTTGTTGTGAGGATAAAATGGAGTGGAGGAGGAGGAGGCACAGCACATGAGTGGCACTGGTTTCTTCTCAAGAGGAAAAAAAGCCAGAATATAAATACAATGAAACACTGATAATAATAGCAGGGTCAGTTCTCAATGGTTCCCAATAAATTATGGGATTCAAAGTGAAATGGGCTGCAGCCTGAGATACATTGGAAATGTATTGATTTAGCTGCTTCTGCCTAAGAAAGTTACCTTCAGATGACACTGCTTGTCATTAGGCTTAGTAAAAACTAAAACAAACAAAGTGCCCTTGTGGTACCTTAAAGTCTTAGCACATCAAGGATGAGATGATGCATGAAGAGGGCAGATACACCAGACACATTGAGATGGGGGGTTGTGAGACTAGAGCAGGGGTCCCCTCACTTTTCCACCAGGGGGCCAGTTGAAAGCTTCCAGTGCTGGGTGCGGGCAGGAAAGGTGGTGCCGACGGGGCACGCGGGCCAGTACGGGGGCCGTGCTTGTGGGCACACGGAGAGGGGAGGCAAGGCGGGAGTGGGCCCGTGCCGTGAGGCGGGTGCACGAGGCAGTGGCTTGCTCGCGTGGAAACTGTTCCCTCCGAGTGAGCAAACCGCTGCCTCCCTGCGCGCCGGGCGAGATATGTGGGCGCGTGCACAGCGGGTCCAAATGGGCATGGCAGGCCGAATAAATGGGCATGACAGGCCAGATCTGGCCTCCGGGCTGTAGCTTGAGGACCCATGGACTAGGGGAAAGGTAAATGCAAAAAAGTATTGCAATACTTGGAAAATTTATTCAGTTTACAACTGTTCTTATACTCCATTGTATAATGTATATGATGTATACTCATATATCATAATGATAAGCATTTCAATAAAATAATGTGAGAGTGGGCATATGGTCTCTCTGCACAAGTCTCTGCTTACTATTAAAATGGCAGTATTTCTTTGTTCTTTTCAGATAGCCTTGTACGCCTTGTGTCATTTAATAACCTAACATTTTAGTGTGTTACGGTAACTGTTTCCTCATACATGAAAATAATTCTGTGCATTCCTTGGCTGCAAAACTATATAAAGGAACCAGCATTACACAGGTTCTGGCAGCAGTTTCAACATCAGTTCTAGTCACCTGTTAATCATGGGAATTGCTCCTTGACTAATGGTGTTTGTAGGAAGGATCCAGTACTGCCCTCCTGCTAGTGTTGACCGTGTGCTGGTGTAAAGCAATACTTGAACAATGTAACTAATAGAATGAGAAAAACTGGTGTTTTGTTGATTAAATTCAGCAGGAAATCAGTGCCTTTTCTTAGTCAAATTGCTCAAGCATTGGTTTATGCTAGTGTAATATTATTAACCATTTCTGCTGGGACACCACTGCATACTTTCTGGGAATGCCCATGAATATTTGCATGTAAAAACAAATGACTGGTAAAATCATGGGTAATTTAATCACTCTTAGTTTGCAATTTCTTAGACTTTAGATCATCCCATTCCCATATATCTAGCAAAGCTTAGTATTCTGGTGGCACTGTAAATTCCTTAATCATGTACAGTGGTACCTTGGCTCATGAACGTAATCCGTTCCAGGACCCAAAGTGGTCATGAGCCAAGTTAAATTTCCCCATAAGGTTCAATGTAAATAAGGTTAATCCGTTCTCTACAATTTTTTTAAATCAGAAAAATGTGAAGGAAAGTGACAACAACAAAGATCGTGGCCATCTCCCCCCGCCACCCTGAGCACGAGCGCGGCCATCTCGTGCCCGTCATCCCTGCATGCGCCCATCATCCCGGCGCGCTCGGGCGGGGGAGACAGGCATGAATGCGGGTGCGCTGAGGGGGAGAGATGGGTGCAAATGCAGGAGTGCTGGGGGGAGAGTCGGACGCGAATGCGGGTGTGCTCAGGAGGGAAACGGGCGCGATCATGCTGCGGGGGAAACGGCCGAGATCGCGGTTGTGCTCCTGCAGGAAAGACAGGCACAATCTCGCCCATCTCCCCTCCCTCCCCCAGCATGATCGCGGCCATCTCTCCATTCAGGGGGGTGGGGGAGATGGCCGCAATCATGGCCACCACCCAATGCAGAGTTTACAACCTAAGTCAATTTTTTAATGAAATTTTTGTTCGAGACCTGATTTGGTCGCGAACTGAGGCATTCGTGAGCCGAGGTGCCACTGTATTTTTGAGAATCCACATGCACAACCAAATGCCATAATTAGGGAGTATTAGATGGAGCAATGCATGGCTGTGAAAGCTGGACCATAAGGAAGGCTGAGCGCCGAAGAATTGAGGTCTTTGAATTGTGGTGCTAGAGAAGACTCCTGTGAGTCCCTTGGACTGCAAGGCGATCAAACTGGTCAATCCTAGAGGAGATCAACCCTGACTGCTCTTTAGAAGGCCAGATACTGAAGATGAAATTCAAATACTTTGGCCACCTAATGAGAAGGAAGGACTCCCTGGAGAAGAGCCTGATGCTGGGAACAATAGATGGCAAAGGAAGAAGGGGACGGCAGAGGATGAGGTGGCTAGATAGAGTCACTGAAGCAGTTGGCATGAGCTTAAGTGGACTCTGGGGGATGGTGGAGGACAGGAAGGCCTGGAGGAATGTTGTCCATGGGTTTGTAATGGGTCGGACATGACTTCATGACTAACAACAACAACAAATTAGATGGGGGCAGGGGTTGTATGCTTTGCTTTTAGGGACATTAAGAAAGCTGGTGTTGTGTGGAGATTAGAGGGCTGGACTGGGGACTCAGAAGATCCAGGTTATAGTTCCCACTCAATCATGAAGCTCACTGGGTGACTTTGGGCCAGTCACTCACTCTCAGCCTAACCTCTCTCACAGGGTTGTCGATGAGAAGATAAAATGAAGAGGAGGAGAACCTTTTAAGCCACGTTTGGTTCCTCTCAAGAGGAAAAAAGGTAAAATATAATAAAAGTAATATGCACTCTTATAGAAGAATTAAGAGCAGAGATAGTAACTGGTTTTGTATATGTTACTAGTCATTGCATCTCTTTCTTAAATGTCTGGGTT